ACATTTAGGAAGGTCTATTGGCAGAAATAGAATATAATATTTGAATGTATGTTTTCATTAGTTTAATCACCTTGGCTATGTGGCGAGATTAGGTGGATAGACTTGTAGCATATGTAAACAATTGTTAGTAAGATCAGAGATAACCACCACCCATTTGAAATACGGCATGATTTTGTTATTTAAAAAAAGTAACTGATCCTTTAAACAATGTGAGTTTAAATTTTCTTCTAAAGTTTCTTCTTCCAAAGACAGAAAAACAACCGTTTGAGAACCCCTGATGTACACAGAAACCTCATATCTAACATTAATAATAACACTGGTGACATAATCTTTGACTTTTTCTCTAAGGTTAAGCCATGGGTGACTGGTCCATACTTGGTCGTTTCCTGTCTGAGGTCCAGAACCACTCTACAGTGATAGGCAAGATCTGGCTTACCATGCTGCTTATTTTCCGTATCCTGCTGGTGGCCTTGGTGGGTGACGCTGTGTACAGTGATGAGCAGTCCAAGTTCACCTGTAACACCCAGCAGCCTGGTTGCAACAACGTCTGTTACGATACCTTTGCTCCTGTTTCACATCTGCGGTTCTGGGTCTTCCAAATTGTGCTGGTCTCCACCCCATCCATCTTCTATATAGTCTTCGTCCTGCATAAGATTGCCAAGGATGAGAAGCTGGATGGCCAAAGGGCACAGGTGGTAGACCAGAGGCCTCCCAGACAGAGATGTGGACACATGAAGGATGGCATGGAGGCCCGGAGGGTTGGCATGCCGATTTACTGTCCTCATTACAGGGAGCAATGGGATGCAAGAGAGAGTGAAGGAGTAGAACCAAGCTTTCTAGAAGAGGATTATGGTGAGGTAGGAGAGGACCCCACCCAGCAGTCCAGCCAGGTTCTGCTCATCTACATCCTTCATGTGTTACTCCGATCTGTCATGGAGATCACCTTCCTAATAGGCCAGTACTTCTTGTTTGGCTTTGAGGTACCTCACCTGTACCGCTGCGAGACCTACCCTTGCCCCACTCGTACAGACTGCTTTGTGTCACGTGCCACTGAGAAAACCATCTTCCTGAACTTCATGTTCAGCATCAGCCTGGGTTGCTTCTTGCTCAACATTGCAGAACTCCACTACCTGGGCTGGATCTACATTTTCCGCATCCTCTGCTTAGCCTGCTCCACCTGCTGCAGTCAGGAGAGGGACACCGTCAGACTGTACTCAAATCACAATCCCCTCCTGCTGCAGCTCAGGCATTCACTGAGGGGCCAGCTGGTTCTACAGACCCCAGCAGCCATGGCCCCAGAGAAGACTGGAGGTCTGCTCGTACATGCCCCAGCTATTTCCTTTGAGACAGATTCAACTGTGGAATGTACCTCCAAGAGAAGTCCGGAGAGCAGAGACAGAGTGAAGGTCAAGCTGGCCAATATGGCCAGGCTGGGACGGACCAAGAAGTCTTGGCTATAAGAGTGACATTTTTCTGTAATGCCATTATGTTTGTGAAAACAGACTGAGAAAGGCAACTCGGAGTCCTGAAACATACCCTAAATAAATATGTAAACATTGACACATTGGGCTATTCTGTGCATTGTAAAAAATGGGTCACTTGAAATAGTTAATGGCATGCAAGCATTTGAGGCATGGCAATGCAATAGGATGAGGCTGTTTCATAATATATTGTTTCCATAATATGTCTCTGATGTTACACTTATTTTCATGGTATACAGTTAATAGCAAGAAATCAATGTACCGTTTTGTACTAACAGCAAATACAGTGCTACAGGAATGATGTATTTTTGTAGTCCAACCTCGCCCTGGTTTCTTCAACAAAAAGATAATCTAATCATAGCCACTTTTAGGATTTTTGAAGCGTAAATGCATAAACACTAAGGCTATAAATAAACTACTCAACTACGAACTATGGTCGTATGCCTTCAATGTCACCACCACTAAACTTCCAACTTGTAATACAATCTTGTAATTAAAATCTACAGGTTGTAAAGTTTGAGTTAGAATAGTATAAACATAATGAGGCTGTAAGAGCAGACTAAGTCTGTCTAAAATGTTACTGACAATCATTCATTCAGTACTGTGCCTTTAATGTAGTGAGGTGGAAAGTTGGGATGTGGAGGTCAGGGTGGTGGATGGGCTTATGGCGCATGTGACTCTTGTGCAGGAGACCCACTTTGTAGTTGTGTAAAGAATGAAGAAAGAAAAAAGCCCCCCTTCAGTCAAAAATCTGTGTTTCTTCTTGTTCCTACAG